AAAATAATTCATCCAAACCCTGCGAATGATATTGTGTGTTCGTTCAAAACAACCGCTTACGATCTAAACAATAAAATACTAAGATGTTTTCACATCTTTAAGGCGCAAAAAAGTCCAGAGTCCGGCTAAACAGTTCAAGGAATTGTTCAGTTTGTGTCCGAATCACTTTCGATGAAATGAAATCGTCGTTTGCGAGGTTTAACCATGTTTGTTTTTAATTTCGGCGTAGAATCGCTCGAGCAAAGTGTTAAGCTGGGTCGGCTCCTAATTTTCGATTTCCTTGGCAATTCCCTCCTCTAATCATCACTTTTTCCAGGCCGACAACCAAAAAGCGGTGCTTTTTTCAGTGCTTACTTTGTTAGAGCTGTTTTTCAGCTACTAAATTGTTTTTTCGGTGTCGAAAAAAAACCCACTTAAAACTCCGGCCATTTTTTCACTCGCAGATTTCAGCGTGTTTAAATGTTGCGACATTCAAGGCTCGCATCTGATTGGCTATCTGTGTGTTTCTTTGATTATTGGCCAATCAGAATGTCTGGTTTTTTTCCTTTTTTTTTGCACTGAATTAACCCTCTTCTGCATTGAATTACCTGAAAACTGCATTTATCTTAACCAATCAGAAGTGAGTAATTTTCCATGTATATTATTAATGAAGAAGAAAAGGAACAAGAAAAACGATACATTTCATTTACCGTCATTTTCTAAACAGAAATTGAGATGGCTTGCAAACCTTTGCAGCACTATTGCTGCGATGAGTCATTTACCGCATTTTATTACACCCATTTTGAAATCACTGGTGGTCCCTGTAATCTGATTAGCTCTTATTGGTGCGATTTGTTTACGAATTGCACTATTTTTTGCTTTAAATCATATCTTGTTCCCAGCCAACGAGGAGGCTACATACAAAAATTAATTAATGAATCAGATTTCCAGGTTTGTTTAAAGTAACCGATCAAATTGCAGGAAAATGAAATACAAAGAGTATCATGTGGCGAATTTTGCAACTTTTGTTTCCAAAACTCTTATTTTTTCCGTCCCCAAAATAGATGAATTTAACTACAAACCGGCTCAGTACTGCATCAATAAAATATTTGAACTGACCGAGTCCTGTATTTGGGCGATTTATGCCAGTCAGTAAACAAGCTCCGGGCGTATATTGGTATTAATGTTATAAGTTTTGTTATGGTGGCTTTTCAATTGACCTCCGTATTCAAGCAGTGTCAGTGCTGCAAGTTAAGTTAGTTTATAATAAAGAAAAGAAGCAACAAGAAAAGCGATACATTTTACTCACCATTATTTTTTTAAAAAGTTGGGATGGCTCGCAATCTTTTGCAGCACTGCTGCTGCAATGAGTCACCTACCACATTTGATTCTACTCTGTATCGGTTTCTCCTAACCTTTTAATCCCTAAAAGTGATTGACATCTTCAGTATTTCTTCGTACAGTAACACTCTGAATCAAACGTTGAGGTCATGGCAATAAAGTAAATCATCACACATTAGGGTCATAAGAGAAGTTTATGAATTGCTGAACAAATTTTCCATGTAGACAATATCTATACCGATCCAACGTTGTGAAGGGTTTAAGAATGGTTCAATGTTCTTCAAACATAGTACACTTGTCTAAACAAGTTCGAATGTAAAAACGATTTTGGTGACTGCTAGATTTAGGCTACTTAGAAAAATCAAAGTTTAATTAGTATTCTATGTGTCATCGAATTACCTGATAAACATATAAACGACGACGATATAAAACTACCTTAATTTTGCATTTATGCATTTAAGCCTTACACTTTTTATATCCTTCCAGACAACATTTTTTCTCACATTAGTTTCAAAACCATTATTTCGATTATGTTGTTAAAAATTGGAATTAAAGCTTTAAGTTATCTTTCAATTGTGATTTTTTCTACATATTTATTGCCGAAAATATACTGCCCTAACTTATGTAAACAGAGGGCCTTTAAAGTTAAAAGTATGTATTTAAACCTTGACCCTGACAAAGTCTGAATGAACAATTTGAGCCTTGGATTGAATGAATATGTGTGTATATTTTTTTTTCTGACATGGCTGAAAGCGAATCATTGTAACTTATTTTCAGTCGAAATGAGTATGCCAAGCTCAAGCTCAAGCTGAAGTTACCGTGCGTCAAACTACTCCAACAGTTTACGGAAAACTGATATGCACAATAGATTTGCTACCTTATCGTACTATGTAACGAATCTATCTATGACAACGAATCTTTCGCTTTTTTCTTTCCTCGTCTACATAGACAGAATTCAAGTTTACGTTCGTCCACCACGATTTTTTCAGTCGCTTCAACAATCCTCTGGAAAATTGGTTGAAACGTTGAACTTATGGCGAGGGATCAGGATAACAGATGAAGTAGCCTACACATTGAAAACTGACTTAACTAACACATGGGGACCTAAATTTTTTGATGTTATAAAAATATCGAGAAAAAGTTTAATGTTTGTTAAATACAAAAGCACTTATGGTACAGTTGAACCTCTCCTTACGGACACCTCTGCAACACCAGCACCTCGTCAGTAAGTACGGCAGAAAAATTTTCTATATCCAGATCAAAATTCTGATATATTCTCTTTGTAATAAGAAACCTTCCTGATAGAGACCCTCTCTAATAAGGACAATGCACACTGAATCTCACTGTTTACACAAAAACACTGCAGAGGAACCTCTGCAATACAAAAAAACTTGAGCTAGGGTTTAACACTAGCTCCGGGCGAAATTAAAGAAATGGAACGAGCGGTTATCGAATCATTATTCAAAGAGAAATTTACTTTCTGTAAGTTTTTAAACAGCACAGAATTATCTCGACATTAAGACAAACTATCAGCAAATAATTGTTGTAAGGACATTTCTTTAATGAGATTATGCGCTCTTACACCAAACCAACTAAAATCCTTTTCTGCTTAAATGCTGGCTAAAACCAATCAGTCACCTAGGTAATCTCCTTGCAGCACTCTCTGGTCTCTGTTTTTTGAAAGTAAAGTAAAATGTCGAGGTCCTCGCGTCTTCTTTCGCGATCAATTATACTTCGATAATCTCCATCATGTCTTTCGACACAAATTAGGAAAAGTGGACCAGAAGTTGAAGAGCAGTCTAGGCGAAACTTCGAAGAGAGCTGTGACTTCGGGAGAGACTTGCAAACCAGAAAATAATATGCAATGAAATGATAAAAAATACAGTGACTCTTAGTCAATCTCAACTGGTAGAGCGGTAAATAGGAGAAAATCATAAACATTCATTCTAAATCACTGCACGCTAACGGGGCCAGTTAAAATTTACACGAATATAAAATAACGGATGTATTTACAAAGGAATTAATAAACCGTTCACGTTCAATTTTTTTTTCCAACTTTTTAGCCCCTCATTGATTAGTTCCACAGTAACGCCTATTACATGATGATGCTGTATGGAGATAGTAGATATGGTAGGATCCACAGTTTTTCACAAAAATAGTTGTCGTGCCTTTGCAACCTGAATCACGATCACTAAAGCAGACCGTTCTTGGAACTTCACCATCTTCCACTGTAGGATGGTTACCGTCCAACCAACCTGACCAGTCTGTACCACATTTGTATGCTGGCACACGCGTTGTTGGCATTTTTGATCCTGCAGCTCCCTCAAAACGATACCATCCCTCAGATAGCTTGTTGTCACACAGTTCACTTCCCTGGGGTGTATCGTAACTGCTCTTTCTGTTACCGTCGTTCAGAATTGAGTAGTTATAACAACCGTCGGCTGGAAAGTTAATTGCAATTCAAAAAGGAAATGATAATCACATGGTTTTAATTTGACCTTGATTGCATCATCATTCATTGTCAGGATTATTCATGCATTATTACCACCCTCTTTTAATATAAGCAGGCACTTGACACATTACAGCGACGATGTTGTGTAAAAACATACGGAAAATTTTGAACCAGCTCGGCATTGACTTTCCAATTACCTTCTTTCTTCAAAGAATAGATTCGCTATAGGGCGAGTGCCAGTCCGCTAAATTATTTTTTACAACGAGCTAGAATCCCGCCACCCTTGTATTAAAGGCACACCGGAATCGAAAATGAATTTTGGCGATGACCCATAAGTAGATTAGGGCGTTTAAACGGGGCAAAACGGGGAAATCATCAGTCAGGTCAAATAAAGTTGGCTTGAAAAATTATCAAAAGTACAAGCAAGTTGTGTATTTTAAAGTATCTCTCGTTCATTGCGAGGTGTTGAACAGTTCGGCTTTTTTTTCTTACTCTGCTGCCATCACTAAACTTCTCGCCCACAAACAATTTTTCACTCTCCAACACCGAATTTCGGGAAATTTTCGCTCACTAGCACGGCTCTTTATTCTGTATACCGATGAGGGCGACTTCGCTCTTAGCCTCGTTCTCACGCCGTAATTTCGGCACCAGATCACTGATGTCCGAGAACTCGGAAGTGGCCTATTCCAACGTTTCAAAAGAAATGCAGAATGACGAACATATGGACACACCAAAAGACGAAAAAATGAAGGCTCAGACAACCAGACAGACAGCCAGAAAGACGGCTATTTCTAATTGGTTTAAAAATTTTATCAAATAGAGGTACAGAAAACAAACCTTCACATTCAATTCCATTCCAGAAATATTGAGTTTGGCAGGTGCAGTTGAATGACCCCAGAGTGTTTGTGCAATTGGCGCCACCCTTGGTACAATTATTATTAACCAAAGCACACTCGTCGATATCTGAAAATAACAGCAAGACATTGATAAGAGGCCTGGTGGAATGGATAACGCTAAAAGATTACACGAGCTTCTAAACAGTTTTTATTTTCAACCAGCTAATTTCTTCGCTATTTACAATCTAAGCTCTACCCGTCATTCAAACTATAAAATAAATGGCACATGAACAAGCATGCAGAAGTTCAAGAAAAGGACTCATATATAGACCTTTTTGTGTTACGACAGGAATGCGGTGCGGCTTTTGTGTAGAATTGCTGATGGATAATAG